TCAATTACAACAACAAAACACAGAAATTGCTAAATTACATGAAAGTTGCTTCAAAAGACATAGTGTGATACATAAACACATTTGCACAAGTTTAAATTGTTACCTCCTGGACATCCTCTGGATTTTTTCTTGAAACAATCTGAAAAGCAAAACAAAACAAAACAAAAAAAACATATAAGCACTTGGATTTTCAGTTTGGAAGTTAAAAAGCAAGACACAATGATTTGTTGTTGAAGAGAAAAATCTGGAAAAAGACAAACAGTTGCATGCTCCTCTGCACTCAGAAATGTTTTCATTTATTTTTAGAGAAGTCTAATATCCAAATACAATACAGTGAGGTATTTTAGCTGCAGAGTCAGTCAATGTTATTAGAAATAAAGACGTACATTCTAGGCAAAATGGCACAGAAGGCAGCTCACAAAACAAAGCTATGTAGAGCACATCCCCCATCATTTTTACAGTCTCTTCCTATTAATTCATATTAGGGCCACATTATTCCCAATAAGCAGAGCTAATTAAGGCTACTTGGCTTAATATAAACTGCACAACCTCACTGTGAACGTGAGGCTTTGCATTTACTAAGACAGTATTTCCACTTCACTTACAGCCATCAATGCGCTCACAGATCTGACTCTATCCTTGTGCATTTGTTTCTCCTTAAACACTCTTTGCCTAATTAATTATAAATGATTTTGTTCAGAGGAAAATTGCAGTGAAAATGAGGCTTGGCTACACACCATAAAGAAGCCTGTATTTTGTCAGGATTTTTTTCTTTAAATAAATATTGATCCCAAAAGCCTTTGTAATCCAAGTTCTGTATTGGGCTTATAAACAGCAGTTAAGAGCATATCCGCACAAACAAACAAATCAAATAAAGACATCTTTAATTCATAACTGCAATTATCTCATGCAAGTCAGTCTATCCTTCATTATAACTCAACCAAAGCTGTTTAACAAAATAATTAGCCTATTGTTAGCTAAAGCAAAATAGGGCACTCTCAATCCAAACTGACACACCCCAGAGTAATTAATGCTGTGAATAGGTGATGCGTATAGACGAGCGCCCGGAGACCTCGCTACTCGCACCCCAGAGACTAAACCACCACCCCACTGTACCACAAGCCCCACGCAGCTGTTGCTCTAAGGTGGAAGTCACTGAATCTACACTTTCCTCTTGCTAAGTGACAATAACATACGCCTCATACTTCCCACAAACAAAGCTCTCTTCCTCCCTTTCATTTTTCAAGAATCCTTGCCAAAGCCTCCCAGATTTTGTAACATCAGCCCATGACACAGCCCAGCCACTGTAATCTGTCACACACTTTGGAGGAGATGAGACAGAAAAGAGAAGCGTTACCTTCTCTAGCAATCTCCCAAAAGACCTAAAGCATTTTCCTTCACGAGTCTAAACTCTTTCTCTCACCTTGCACATCAAAGTCCTCTTCCTCCAGCGTAGTCTACATTGATAAAACCTTCCTCAACTTTTCCTCACTCTTGAGTAATCTAACACTTGGCAACTTTACCAGATTTTAACCTTGGCAGCTGTTGCTCCTTCATTCACTACCAGGCAGTTCATATGTACAACTGGTGAAATATTCCTAACCTTCTTTTCTAATAGCTGGCGTACTTGATGTAAGGAGCCTGTAGAGCTGGGGGAAGAAGATATCATAGGCATGGCTGCACATCACAGAAGAACACCAAAGGGCACGCACCAACTGCTTTGCTTTCCAGTTCACCTTTAGTTAAAGCCTTGCAACAGTTTTGGCAGCTAGGTAAGTTACCAGATGGGCAGAAGGAGACCCAGAGAGATGAGTAATTACCCAGCCAGTTAGTAAGAATCTGGAATAAAACCCAGAGGCCCTGTTTCACACTTGTTCTAATGTTACATCGCCTTCTATATCTACCAGCCATGCCAACTTTAAGTCAGTACGTAATAATTTATGTGTTGTCCTACTTTGTTCTCCATATCCTTTTCTGAAGGTCAACCACAGAAGAGGTCTGCCCCTTCAATCCAACCTATAATCAACCTAGAGACTTGGCAGAGATGATCCAATCCCCCAAATTTTCAATGCACTTTTTTAATCCTCCCACAAGGATCAATGCAGTCAGCTCCTCCTGCAAATCTGTAATGCTAGCAACTTTAATCTATTTTTAAAAATATCAGTAAGATACCCACCAATGAGCTAAGCAATGTGTAATTACTGCATTAGGCTCTGAAAACAGAGATCCTACAAGGTTCCTCACCATCGAACAAAGTATTTCAGATTATCTTGTTCATTGTCTGATTTACAGATATCCAACATAACTCATTAGAATTTTAATTATAATTAATAATTGCAATCTTCTAAATGATCTGAACTTTTATTAGTGACCTATACATTCAGACACCATTAAAGAACACTACTCATATTGCAACTTGCTTATATCTCTTTCTGTTCTTTAGCCTTTGGAAATTGATATATAAAGCCTCTATTCATTTAATCTTGTCTGCACTTAGAATTATTTCAGTTTACAAATAAATAAAATATATATTCTTTGGTATAGAAACAAAACTTTTAAGAAAAAGCTACAAGAAGGATAGACCACCTTAGCACTCAGAAGAGACTGTATAGATAGCTGTGTCTTTGGGTCTGATGTTCAGAACACGCTGAACAAGTGTTTTCTCATCCATGATTATTAACCTATCGTTATATTGGAACAGAAAGTTCCTTTAACTCCGTTTCACAAAGGATTCACTCATACACCATTGAAAGGAACCAGAAATCTCCACTAGCATGTACTGAGTACCCTAAATTTCAACCAGAAGGGTATTCAACACAACAGGAAGATCCACCTCACTTTTTTTCTGGCGGTCCCCCAAAGTTGCTGAGCATCAGATCAGCAAATACATCTGTAGTGCTGCGATATCAACCACGGAGCCAGATCACTGCAGGAGCAGCAGAGAAGAGTAGGAGGAGAGAAAAAGGATGGGATAACAGATAAGTACATTGAATTACTTCTAAATCATTTTGTTCAGCATCTAACTCCCCAAATCCTCGCTTCGAGTACTATGGCACAGATTACCAGCTAGAGCTCTACTGAAACAGAAGTTATTTATAAATACTTCTACGTTTGTGAATCCAAAGCATCCTTCGCTGCATGAAAGAGAAATATTTTTTCAGTTTGAGGATTTCAAATATCAAAACACACTGAAGAACTAATGATCTCTGGTGAGCTCAGTTTAATTTGGACAGCTCACAGACTGATCAGCTCCTTGCTCGGTACTAAATCACGTGCAGTCAGCACACGGCCTGATTCTGCATCACCTCGCTCAGAAAAGCACCTGCTCATCCACAACTTAAGGGACATGGAGGAAGACTGACAATCCTCACTACTTCGCTACAACTCGCTCTTCAACAATTCTGCATAAACAAAAACATCACACAACACTTTAACTGGCTTCAGGCAGTAAGAACAAAGTTACCAGAATAAAATCAGCTGAAGTCTTGGCTCATTCCTATTCCTTCCTATTCCACTGACACAACTTTTTAAAGCATACACAGACACTCAGCCCACCAAGAGCTAGTGCAGACGGGTGTGATGGCACTGGTTTCCTCCTTGCCTGTACCTCAGGAAAGGTTTTTAGAGTAAAACATCATAGGGAAAAACAACTCTCTTTTTTTTTTCTCCTCTTAACAAATACTACATTTTATTGGACTAAAATGAATGCTCCCAACATGTCCCATTTGTGTTTGGTGGGCTTGTACGCATATATTTGACAAAATAGAAGAAAAAAACATTTTTAATTTCCCAAGTCATACAAAGTGATCATGGTTGAACAAGCTGAGCACTACAATGTACACATATAGAATGTTGTATTCTTTGAGTTAGAGTGTTTACAAACATATGTTGCTGTCATGGGCAGAACATCTACAGCTGCAGTAACTACAAGATCACTGGTCATTTAAATAAACCCTGTCTCTCTGTGACACTTTCTGCTGCTCTCAATACATCTCACCATACCTGTGACCTCAACTCTCACTCCTCATGCATCTCCCTCCATGTTTTTACTTACTCCTCTCCCTTTTTGGCTTAAATAGGAAAGCAGAGGGGAAAAGAAAGCAAGACATTTTCCCAGAGGCACAGAAGGAGCTTTCAGCAAAACCACCACCGAGACAGCTCTTGGAGCGTCGTGATTTGCTTCAGCTTTCCTTCTTCTCCTACTAGGCCTCTCTTATTCATCCAGACCCTCTTCTGCCCAAGCGTGGCTGGACCCAAGGCACAGGCAGCCCTTAAGAAAGGGATATTGAGTTGAAGCAGCCCCCCGCTTGCAGCCTGGGCGAGCGGCACCCACGCACCCTGCTCCCCCACCTTCCCTCCACAGCCCACTGTGCAGGAACACAGAGCAATCCCCCCTACGCAAGGGATTTGGGGGAAGAAGAGGGGGGGGAAAAAAGCAAAAGCAAAAAAAAAAAAAGCAAGACAGAGTGGTTTGGTTTTAAGCTATTGTGGGACGCCCTGCAACAAACAGGAAAGAAATTGACGGTTAATTGCGAAGGGCGGCTGAGGCAATTACAAGGTTAGGGGAAAGCTGCAAGTTCGCAGGAGGGGTCCGAGGCTCAGCTCTGGGGAGGCCGCCGGGTCCGACCCTCCCTCCCTCCCACCCCGGTCCCTGAGGCGGGGGCGTTCCACGTCGCCACCGGGCCGACCCCCACCGGCCGCAGGCTCTGTTCCGCAGCCAGCGGGCGGCTTGAAGGACCGAACAACCGGGCAGGCCGGGGCACGGGGGCCTGAGGAGGCGAGGGGCCGGGCGGCGGCGCCCCGGGCAGCCGGCAGGGAGGAGGCCGAGTCCGGGAGCCGGGGCCCGGCCGGGCGCTGACTCACCCGCGCCGTGACCTTGTAGACGGTGTGCCCGCGGGGGTGCCGCCGCGGCTCCGTCACCGTGTAGAAGCGGGCCAGGTCCCCGCCGCGCTCCCTCGGGCTCAGCATG